TGCTCACACACACCTGCTGGACAGTTGGCTGCCCAATGGCCATCTACTCAACAGTCTTCTCCTCAATCTCTGCTACAACTTTGAGAGCAAGCTGGCCCCGAGGACTTGTTAATATGCATGTGCCTTTCTGACTTATCTCAGATTATCCATAAATTAGGTAGCTTCTCTGTTGATCCACAGAATTATATCAGGGAATTTGAATTTATAGCTAATTGTTATGATTTACATTTTAAGGATATTATTTGATTCTGAACACCACCCTCAGCTCACACGAGTGAACTCAGCTATGGCAGGCAGCTTGAGAAGAAGCTGATCGCAGACATAAGGCAAACACTGCTGAAAATGACCCTGGACCTATTTCAGTGCCAGACCAAGATTCCAACTGGAACTATCAAAATGGAGAGGTTCAAAAAAATTACATAAGACAATTGAATGTCCAATTGTGGGCCTTAATAAAATTGCTCACAAATATACTAACTATAATAAACTTTTAGAACAGGTCCGGGAAGCTAATGAAAACACAGCTGTGTTCCTCAATTGGCTTAGGGAAACCTTAATTAAGTTTACTAATGTAAACTCAGACTCTCATGAAGGGATAATTGTTGTTAACTCTTATTTTATTTCCCAGTCTGCTCTTGATATTTGTGCAAAGTTACAAAAGGTTGAACGTGGCCCTCAAACTTCACAGGGAGATCTTCTTAAATTAGCTTTCTGTGTCTTTGACAACAGAGACAAAATTCAAAAAGAGGAAAAAGAAGCTCAAAAAATAAAATTTGCTAAATATCAATCTGATCTCTTAGCAGTGGCACTTGGGGCTCCCAAGACAGGAAATCCAAAACAAGGTGCAACTGCCCAAGCCATGCCCAAACCATGACTTAAATGCAGCAAACAAGGACACTGGGCAAAGACTTCCCTGGCATTCCTTTAGGGCCATGCTCCTACTGCAATGTTAAGGGCCACTGAAAGAGTGACTGTCCTAACCACCAGTGAGTGGGTAAGCCATCTTCTAACTTCTTGCCCTCACAGAAGACTCCATCAATGCCAGATTCATCACTGACTGATCTGCTAGGACTTGCTGCTGAAGATTGATGGGGCTCGGGGTTCACAGCCCCCACTGCGGTATATTTGTTGGAGCCCCTAGTCTCACTGGAGGTCTCAAGTAAGACACTATCTGTACTTGTGGACATGGGGGCAACTTATAGTGCACTTTCTGAGTTTTCAGGAACTTGTATTAAGTCCTCAGTCTTTGTGGTGGGCGTTGATGGCCAGCCTACACAGTCTTTGCAAACTGGGCCTGTCTCATGCAGATTCCAGACTCTTTTCTTACCCATAGCTTCCTAGTAATCCCAACATGCCCCACACCCCTTTTAGGTAGAGACCTCCTTCAAAACTTAACTTATCCTTTACCTCCTCCCTCCCCACAGCCCTAATCCTCCAAACAGTCTCATGATGCATCACAAAGCCATTCTTTCACCTCCTTCTTCTCTGGTCAACTCCAAAGTTTGGGATACATTCAATCCCACCCTTGCTACTCATGCCAAGCCTATTTTAATCTGTTTCAGTGATCCTTCAATTTTTCCTTGCATTCCCCAATATCCCATAGCTCCTCAACATTTTCAGGGACTTAAACCCATAATTAAGTGCCTTTTAGACAATGGTTTTCTTAAACCTACGCATTCACCCCACAATACTCCCATTCTCCCAGTACTCAAGCCTGATGGGTCATATAGCCTGGTACAGGACCTTAGGGTAATCAAAGTACTGTTACCCCACCCACCCAGTGGTGCCAAATCTTTATACCATGCTTTCTCATATTCCTCCCTCCACCACTCACTTTACAGTTATAGATCTTAAAGATGCCTTCTTTACCATCCCCTTACACCCTGATTGTCAGGCCCTCTTTGCATTTACATGGACTGACCCAGACACTCTCAGGTCTCAACCACTTACTTGGACAGTGCTTCTGCAAAGGTTCAGAAATAGTCCCCACTTCTTTAGTCAAGCTGTAACTACTGGCCACACAGAACTTGATCTCAAATCTAATATCCTTCTTCAATACATAGATCACCTTCTGTTATGTTCTCCATCCCATATGTTAGCCATACAGAATTCAGCCAGTCTTCTTAATTTTCTTGGTAGTCGTGGATACAGGGTCTCTCCTGCTAAAGCCCAGATAGCCTCCCAAAAGTCAAATACCTAGGTCTTGGTCTCACCCCCACCACTCATTCCATCACCACAGATCATAAGGCTATTCTTCGAGATCTCCACGTGCCCACAACTAAACAACAGGTTACATCTTCCCTAGGTTTTGCTAATTTCTTTTGTCTCTGGATTCCTAACTTTGCAGCCCTAGCTCAACCCCTCTACAAGGCTGCTATGTGTCCCTTGTCAGAACCCCTGGACCCTACTATGCCCATATATGCCTCCTTTCATAAATTAAAAGAGGCTCTCCTAAAAGATCCAGCCCCTTACCCTTCCATATCCCACTCAACCTTTCACTCTATATAATACTTCTCAGGGCCACAATGCTGTACGTAGGTGTACTAGGACACAAAAAGGGACCTTCCTTTCAAGCAGTAGCTTACTTGTCAAAACAGTTAGATAACATAGTAAAAGGATGGGCTCCTTGTCTCTGAGCCCTTGCAGCTGCAGCCCTCCTGACACAGGAAGCTAAGAAGTTTACGTTAGGACAGTCTATTACAGTACACTCGCCTCATCACCTACATGAGCTTACCTCACATAAGGTGTTCCCTGCCCTGATGACCCCTTCTCACCTTCAACAGATACACTTAGCTCTCTGTCAAGACCCTTGCATCTCTATTGCCAGTAGTGGTCCTCTTAATGTGGCAACCTTACTTCCCACCTCAGAGGGCCATCCTCACCATGACATGAGGTCTTACAGATGACTTCCACCCCTTTCCCTCACATCAGCAGCACACCTCTCTCTTTGGCCTTTGACACGTGGTTCATAGATGGCAGTTCAACAAACACATACAACCAAAAAAAGGCATGATATGCAATAGTTAACCAGTCAAAAGTTATAGAGGCAGATCCACTGCCATGTGGCACCTCTTCCCAGAGGGCAGAACTTATTGTCCTTACAAGGGCTCTTACACTAGCAAAAGACAAAATCATAAATATATACACTGACTCAAAGTATACATTTAGCATTTTACACTCTCATGCCTCTATCTGGCAAGAACAAGGTTTTATTAACTCTCAGGGAATCCCCATCATTAATGCTCCCCTCATCCTTAAACTTCTAGAGGCAGCCTCAACTCCCAAAGCAGGCAACAGTTATTCATTGTAGAGGACACCAAAACTCTACCGATCCTATTGCTCAAGGCAATGCCTTTGCAGATTCACAAGCCAAGTAAGCTGCACAAGGGCCCTGCCCTTCTCATCTTCTCCTGTTAGTCCCAGTCTACGTCCTATACAAACTCTTAGTCCCAATAGTCACACACCCTTCTCTAAAAGTTATCATTCTTAAGATTACACCTGTTATCTCTGTGGTAGGACCTCTCCTGTAGGGAGCCGAGTGACAGGCATTGCTGCCTCGATGTCTCTCTCTCTCTCTCTCTCCTATGGGCACTGCGTCTGCCTACATTAACCATAATCCTCTTCTGCTTACGTCACTTATCCGGATGTGATGGTAACCCTGTTGTATTCATCTGTTTAACCTCTTCCTGTCCCAGCTCCCGCCCTTAGCCTATAAAAGGTGTGATTATTTTCTGAATAAACCGGAAGCTTGATCGGATTATTTTGTCTTGCTTTCGTCTCTTTTTGTCTCCCCCATGTCTTTTATTTAATCCCCGTTTCCCCTCCAGGAGTTCTGAACTTGTTGATCTGCAGGCCGGATCAAGTGGCGCCCAGAGTGGGGGCTCCTGGCACGGAGAAGTTAACGAGGGAGCCGTTCGAGAGACAGCCGGCTTAAACTGAAAGTGAAAGCAAATTGAACCAGAGACCTCGGCCAAGGAATGAGTAAACTGAATCAAGGATTAAAGCTTAAAGCAACAGGAAATTAAATCAAGTGCCAAGACCTGCGCAGACGACTACCCGACGTCCTGCCCGAGTCACGGTGAGTGAATGGCAACCCCATTTCCTTTCCCTGACATGGGTCAAGTATTGAGCGAACACGAAGTGTTCGTCGGAGGCCTTATAAAGGCATTAAAGACAAGAGAGATAAGGGTTGGAACAAAAGAATTATTACAGTATTTTCAGTTTATTCATAAGGTTTGCCCTTGGTTCCCCCTAGAGGGTTCTATAGATACCAAGAGGTGGAATACAGTAAGAGATGCTTTAAAAGATTATTATAGAGTTTTTGGTCCAAAAAAGGTTCCTGTGACCACCTTTACATATTGGAATTTAATTTCTGAGCTGCTTGCCCAGAGGCATGCAGACCCTCAGGTTGAGGAGACAGTTGCACTGGGTGAGGCTGCCTTGCGCGACTCCCTTAAATCTACCTCAAAACCGTCCTCAGAAAAATCTGAAGCCTCTGATTTCTCAGATGCAGAGAATGATGGCCTGTTAGAGGTCCTTGTACATGGTGATCTGCCACCACTTCCACCTGTTGACATGATCAGCAGGTCCCAGGATGGCAGCCCGCCACTCCCTGTGCCTCCATGGCCAATTGGGGATTCATATAAGCCTTTAGACCCCAGCCTTTCTGATTCTCAAGAGGTCAACTGGAAACAACCAACATAACAAGCCTCTAGATGTCACCCTAACCCTGCTGCAGCACCGGTCGCTATTAGGCCATCCCCTGACTATGATGATGCACTCAGCGTCTGCTCTCAACCTTCTAGCACATTAGTGGAGTTAGAGCAGAGAAAAGCAGATCTTTTAAAACAGATACAGCTAGAAAAAAATGCCAAGATCTTTCAATTCAATTGCAGGCCCTCCGAGCTACACAGTTTCATAGTGTCCCTGAGATGGAGCCTGCCTCCAGCATGCCTTGTAGTGCGCTTAAAATGGTGCCTGCCTCTGGCAGCCAGCCTAAAATGGCTTTCCCAGTCACAGAGGCCTTTACTCCCCCACGGGATGTTGAAGAGGGCACTGAACCACAAGCTGTTAGGATACACACACCTCTCACCGTGACAGCCTTAAAAGAGTTAAAGGCCGCAGTCTCTCAATATGGCCCGACTGCCGCCTACACCCTGGCAGTTCTAGATTCTTTGACTCAGGGTTGGATTATTCCTAATGAGTGGAAAGACTTAGCAAAAGCCACCCTCTCTGGAGGCAATTATCTATTATGGAGATCTGAATTTTTTGATCAATGCGAGGACGTAGCCAGAGACAACGCCACACGGCTTAGCCCCTGGACCCTTGCTATGCTTACAGGAACAGGAGATTTTGCCACAAAAGAGACCCAAATGCAGTTCAATTCGGGCCTCTTTGCCCAGATTAATATGGCAGCCATTAGAGCATGGAAACGGCTCCCCTCAGGAGGCGAGCCTACTTTATCTCTCACCCAAATAAAACAAAAGCCTGAGGAGCCCTTTTCAGACTTTGTCGATCGCCTGTTACAGGCGGCAGAGCGTCTTTTCGGCTCCACAGAAACAAACTCTGCCCTGGTTAAACAATTGGCTTATGAAAATGCAACCTCAGATTGTCAGGCTGCAATTTGACCACATCGCAAAAAAGAGGACTTATTGGGTTATATACGCTTATGTACAGATATTGGGCCAGTTTATCAAGGCCTAGCCATGGCTACAACACAACAAGGTTGCATAGTTACACAACCCCTTTCTCGTTCTAAAAAAGATGCCACTTGTTTCAAATGTGGCCAAAGTGGCCACACGGCTCGTGATTGCAAAAGAAAAAATCAAAATCAGTCCTCTACAAAAAACCCAGGGCTGTGTCCTAGATGTAAGCGAGGAGACCACTGGGCTAATGAGTGCAAGTCCAAAAGAGATGCTCACAGTAACCCTCTCTCCCCACAGGGAAACGGGTTACGGGGCCGGCCCCAGGCCCCCAATTCCGGACAAACCCGTGGGGCTCCAAGGTTTGTCCCAGCAAAAAACCATCCATTTCAGACCTCTTCAGGGCAACCCCAGGGAGTGCAGGGTTGGACCTCTGTTCCACCTCCAGCACAGTTTTAACCCCTGACATGGGTGTTCAGATCATACCCTCAGGAATCTATGGGCCCCCTCCCCCCAGAAGTTTTGGACTTATCATTGGACGTAGTAGCACTACGCTTAAAGGATTACAAGTTCTGCCCGGGATAGTAGATAGTGATTACACAGGAGAAATAAAGGTCATGGTTTCTCCCCTTGTCGGTGTCATACCAGTTAGGACAGGGCAATGCCTTGCTCAATTGCTGCTATTGCCATTGGCTCAAACATCTAACAAATGCATAACTCCCTATAGGAGGAACTCCTTTCCTGGAGCTTCAGATGTATATTGGGCACAACGTATCTCCAAACAAAAGCCCCTCATGACTCTGTCTTTAGATGGAAAAAGTTTTCAGGCCTCATTGATACAGGCGCAGATGTTTCCATTATCAGAAAGGAGGAATGGCCTACTGCCTGGCCTTTAGAAACAACCTTAACACACCTCCAAGGGATTGGACACTCAAAAAATCCACAACGCAGTTCCAAACAACTGGTTTGGAGAGACCAAGAAGGTAATCAGGGACACTTACAACCTTATGTCATAGAGAGTCTGCCTCTTAATTTATGGGGTAGGGACTTACTCTCTCAAATGGGATTAATTATGGGAAGCCCTAATAATGTTGTCACAATACAAATGCTTAGTAAGGGCTACCTGCCAAAACAGGGCTTAGGAAAAAATAACATGGGCATTACTGATCCCATCATTCCCATCCCTAACAATGCTAAAGTTGGGTTAGGCCATTTTTCTTAGGGGCCATTGACGCTCCTACGATCCATGCTACACGAATTACATGGCTATCAGATGAGCCGGTATGGGTCGATCAGTGGCCCCTTAACTCTGAAAAGCTTGCAGCCGCATGGCAGCTGGTGCAGGACCAGTTAGATGCAGGCCACATTGTTCTTAGTAATTCCCCTTGGAACACACCTATCTTTGTTATCCGGAAAAGGTCAGGAAAGTGGAGGCTGCTACAAGACCTTAGGGCAATAAATAAGACAATGGTCTTAATGGGGCCTCTACAGCCTGGCCTCACCTCACCCAGTGCCATTCCTTTAGGATTTTTTAAAATTGTCATAGATCTTAAAGATTGCTTTTTCTCTATTCCTTTACATCCAAAGGACCAAAAGCGTTTTGCCTTCAGTCTCCCATCAATTAATTTTAAAGCCCCTATGCAGAGATTTCAATGGAGAGTTTTGCCACAAGGTATGGCCAACTCCCCCACACTATGCCAGTCTTTTGTAGCCACTGCAATACAGTCAGTCAGAGATCATTGGCCACATATCTATATTATTCATTACATGGACCATATCCTCTTGGCAGGAGATGATCAAAACCAAACCCTAAGGTGCTACCAGGACTTACAGGTTGCCTTACAAGAGGCTGGACTTCAAATAGCCCCTGATAAAGTACAGCTTACTGATCCATATACATACTTGGGTTTTCAATTATGTGGCACTCAAATACTCTCTTTAAGGCCCCAACTGAGGCTTGATGGCCTCAGAACACTTCATGACTTCCAAAAACTATTGGGAGATATTAATTGGCTCATACCATTTTTAAAACTAACTAAACATGATTTACAGCCCCTTTATGCGCTGCTTCGGGGAGACATAGATCCAACTTCCCACCGAGAGCTTACACCTGATGCCAGGAGAGCGCTCAGTAAAGTAGAAGAGGCTATTGCTCAACAAACTGTTTCCTTTATGGACTACAATGAGCCTTTACAGTTTCTCATTTTTAATACAAAGCTTTGCCCTACAGCAGTGTTCTGGCAACAAGCTCCCCTCATGTGGGTCCATTTACCAGTCTCTCCAAAAAGAACACTTTTGCCTTATTTCCAAGCTGTCTCGGACCTAATAATCCAGGGTAGAAAGCAGGGAAAATGTTACTTTGGCAAAGAACCAGACATTATCATTCAACCTTTTACAAAAGACCAAATAGATTGGCTACTTCAGAGTACGGAAGTATGGCCTATTGCCTTAGCTTCCTATTCAGGGACTATTGACAATCATTACCCTCCAAATAAGCTAGTTGACTTTGCTAATCGTGACTCATTTATATTCCCTAAAGTCACAGCTTCACAACCCCTTCCGGGTGCCCTGGTTTTATTCACTGATGGCTCATCCTCCGGAAGGGCTGCTTATGTATCTCAAGACAATGTTTCTACCCTCCAGGCAGCTACTTCCTCTGCACAATTAGCAGAGTTAGAAGCTATTCTTGCAGTTTTTGCTGCTTGCTCTGACCAACCATTTAATTTGTATACTGACAGTGCTTATCTTGCCCAGTCTGTTCCATTATTAGAGACTGTTGCTACTATATGTCATGCTTCCCCAGCTGCAAATCTGTTCAAACAATTACAATGCTTCATACGGCTTTGCCATCATAAGTTCTTTATCGGTCATCTGCGAGCTCATTCCAACCTCCCAGGGCCTCTTGCCCAAGGAAATCATTTGGCTGATGTTGCTGTACGAGCACAGGTTTTTATGGCTCAGGACTCCAAGGTGTCTGAGGCCCAACAAGCCCAACAGCTACACCACCTCAATGCTCACACCCTCCGCCTTCTCTACAAAATTACCCATGAGCAAGCCAGACAAATTGTAAAAAATTGTCCATCTTGTGCTATCCACTCACCTGTTCAACACCTAGGAGTCAACCCTAGAGGTTTAATTCCTAACGCCTAATGGCAAATGGATGTTACCCATTTCAATGAGTTTGGCAATCTAAAATATGTACATGTCATTATTGACACTTATAGTGGCTTCATTTTTGCCACTCTCTAGACTGGAGAAGCTGCTAAACACATTATAGCCCATATGCTGTCAGCCTTCTCAGTTCTGGGATGTCCTCAACAGCTCAAGACCGATTATGGCCCTGGCTATACCAGTACGTCCTTTGCTCAATTTTGTAAAAGCCTTAATATCCTCCACACTACAGGTATACCTTATAATCCTCAGGGACAAGGCATTGTTGAACGTGCGCATCATTCTCTTAAATTCACCATAGATAAAATAAAAAGGGAGACATGGTACCCCACCCAGGGGTCCCCTAGAAATGTCCTTTCACATGCTCTTTTTATTTAATCCCCGTTTCCCCTCCAGGAGTTCTGAACTTGTTGATCTGCAGGCCGGATCACTCTCCTCAGGGACATATAGCACCCCCTTCCTTTCCTATCCATCAGTTTCAAGGACACACCCCTGGTCAGGACTAGCAGATAGATTTTACACACATGCCCCACTACAAAACTCTCAAATATCTTCTCATCTTTGTTTGTATCTTTTCAGGACGAATAGAAGCCTTTCCCACAACCAGGGAAAATGCTGATGTAGTTACCAAAGTCATATTACAAGAAATCATTCCAAGGTTTGGTCTACCTCAGAGTATTCAGTCAGATAATGGTCCTACCTTTATTTCTCATATCACTCAACAGGTATCCTCAAGCTTGCACATCACCTGGCACTTACACATCCCATACCATCCACAGTCCTCAGGATAAGTATAAAAGGCAAATGGCCTCATAAAGACACATCTTACAAGCTCACTTTAGAACTACCCCAACGTTGGCCTCAACTTTTGCCCTTAGCCTTAGCCAAGCTCAGGGCACTTCCCCAGGATCCTACCTTCTTAAGTCCTTTTGAACTTATGTATGGCAAGCCATTCTTACTCCACAATCTTCCTACTCCCCAAAATCTCCCTCCCCTTGCTGACTATGTCCCAGTCGTTTCCTTCCTCTGACATTTGTTGGGACAACATGCTGATCTCTGCCTTCCACAACCCTCTGGAGAGGCAAAACCAGATCCTTCCATCTCCCCAGGAGATCTAATTTATCTCAAATGCTCTAAATCCACAGGACTACAGCCAAGGTGGAGTGGCCCCTATCTGGTCTACTTGGCTACCCCTATAGCAGTCAAAGTTGCTGGACTCCCATCCTGGTTTTGGGGTGCCCTCCCAGCCCTAAATCTGATCATTCTGAGTGGTCATCTCATCTTCTGTCACCTACCCATCTCTGTTTCATGAAGGCCTCACAGCCACAGTTCACAGGCTAAGTCATGTTTTGTTATCCAATTTGGTTCCTAATTTCTTATGTTCTATTAATTATCATTTTTACAGCAGGACTCTTAACAGTCTTTCCTAAAGATTCCCACATCATGCGTAAGATCATCTTCATAATGTTCTATGTGACAACTATCTTAGTTCTTTCTACCCTCAGCTGTTTGGTTAAACATGACATCCCTGAAGGTCTAGGCTCTTACCTTCCCTATACTGGTACAGCCATGACTTTCCCCACTCCCTCTATTTTTTCCAGTTCAACTCCTGGACCAGAGACAAGTCTTACCCACCTACCCTCTTAACTTTTATTCCTTCAGATGGGGGAATAATCACCTCTCATAACTTCACTCCTCTTAACCCCACACTTATTTTTCAGAATTCTACCTCACCATGACAATGATTCTACCTCAACGTGGTCCTGATAAAATAACATATCTAAATCAAAGGCACCTTTCTTTCTACCTCACGTGGGTCCTTAAATATGATAGCACCATGCCTCCTCATAGCATCTTGTCCTTTTTTTTCCAGTCTAACATACAGGCATTCACCAGTGATAAAGTTTTCCTGGCTAAAACATCTGACACCAGCTTCACATGGCCATCAACCTTCATCCCATCAACACTCCTAAACCCCAGTATAGCACCCCATTCCAGCAGGAATCAGTAAAAGAAAGAAAACCTTCACCCTTTTTCCTAATAATCAAAAGATGGGACTGAAAAGATTTTGGCCCAGATAGGGACACAGTAGCCAGTAAAGCCTTGGAGGCAGATCCAAGGAGCTCTATCTTCCCCTCCCCTAGTAGTTTGCCTGTGGCTCTATCTTCCCCACTCCTAGGAATTTGCCTGTGGCATGAACCAATGGGCTACCTGTGCATCCCTAATCCCCGTTAGGCACCACCCCAAATCTAAGCTACATGTATGCCCCCACACCGCATGTCTGCCAGAGAAAAAGTCAGACTTCAGTGGTTGGGGGGGTTGTTTTTCTCTCTCTACATTCTCAGAATAAAGGCCTCTTTTATTTTATACTCCTCATCTTTTGGACGTGCCACAATCTTATCAGTTGGCAGAATCAACAAACACATACTTTCAAATAATCACCCTGCAGATTATGCATTGTTTGCAAAATGGAAAAAAGCCTGATATTGGAGAACTTTGGAATAATAATGATTAAAAGGTACTCAAATTGAACATCATTTATAAAGAAATGAAATGATAGTATTTGTTCATAATATGACAAAAAGAAAATATACAACATTCTCTGTGGATTTTTTCTGCCCAATAATGATTAATGTGAACCATTAAGACACAGTGTGACATGCATAGGTTGGTCTCTTTAAGTATTTCCTTTATATATAGGGCAAAAAAGTGAAAAGAACTATTTTAGATCAAATAAAGCTAGAGATATAATCTATCCAACACAGAAAATGACTTTTGAATGGATAAAATATGACAGAAGGAGCTGAGAAATTATATAGGTATATTGACTATATTGACCCCCCAGCCAAGTTTCCTAATGTGTCACAGGTTTCATTTAACATTATTTTCCCTCTTTGTTGCTACTTCCACTTCCATGTATATCATTACTAAACTATGAAGTGTATAGTATGTGTAAACTATAAAATCTAAGACTGCATGGGGCTCAGGTCTCCCAAAGATTGAATTAATTTTCTGGTTGTATAGCCATACTTAGGCTATCACCTGAATTTTGCCTGTCGTATAAAAATAGACTTCAACTGAGTGATTAAAACAATAATTATAGATATCTAAGTTTTGGCTCTAAAAATTTAAAAGCATCAGTTTTTGGCTTATCAGTTATTATATGGCCAATGTATACTCCTATATCAGGAAGATGAAGCAATTGTCCTGAAATCTTTTGAGACAGTTACCTTAGTCATTAGAAATCCTCCTCTGGTTCTCATTTAACTCTAATTACATTTCCAAAACAAGGCCACTAATAATGTAACATTTATGTCTCAGTTTGTAAAATATTAATTTAGGGAAGTAAGCTGAGCATTCAGTTCATAAAGGCTATGTCACTGGTTTGCAATAAATTGTTTACAATAAAAACCTTTATGCTCTCCATGCAGGCATATGCCCAACAGTGATCAGAATATTCTAGCTTTCAAATTTGTGATAGAACAGATCAACAATAATTCTCATCTTTTAACAAACATATCTCTAGGATATGAGTTTCATAATTTCCTTTATAGTTACTGGAGGATGCTGGAGAGTTCTATCATTTTGCTCACATGACAGAGTGGCATGCCTAATTACTCCTGTAGGAGAAAAAGCAAGTCTGTAGCAGTACTAACAGGAACATCATGGGAAGCTTCTGCTCAAGTTGGCAACCTGCTGGAGCTCTACAAGTTTCCACAGGTGAGGATGAGTGAGATTAGGAAAATAAAATGAAGTATTGCATGGGGACATTCTGAGATGATTAAATAGGCTGGAAGAAGGATCCTGGTTAAAATACATCTTACCACTGTGAAATTTCAATACATAAGTTCAGAGAGACTTAGTGATTTGCTCAGAAGTTGTTTTTTCTACAGAAAATAGGGAGAGAAAGAAACAAAAATGTTTCCTAAAAATTTGTACCTCACAAGAAAGCTTTAGTAACGGAGATGAATAGAAAGACTGGATCAATAGTATCTCTGTCTATGCCTTTCTCAGTTATTTAGTTTCTTCAGGTTTGAGCTTGTGCCTTGTCAACCCTTTCCTTATATTCCTTTCAATTTCCTTTCCCTTTAGGTAACATTTGGGTTTTTTGATCCTGTGCTAAGAGACAATGGACAGTTTCCTTCTATCTATCAGGCAGCCCCGAAGGACACATCTCTGGATCTTGTTATGGTTGTGTTGATGCTTCATTTCAGATGGACCAGGGTAGGACTGGTCATTATGAAAGGTCATAAAAGACATCAGTTCTCTCAGATGTGACAGGAGAGATGGACAAAAACAAAATCTGTGTAGCATTTGTGAAAATGGTCACAATTCATCTTGTATTGTATATAGCATTTGCAAAGGAGTACATTATTTTGACCAAAGAAATATCACAAGTGAATGTGGTGATCATTTACCATGACACTGATTTCCTAAATGATGTCAACTATGACACAGAGCAGTACTTAGTAACAAGAAAAGTCTGAGTGACCAACTCACAGTGGCATGCTGATATGACTGTGAAAAATTTCATCCTTAATTTGTTACATGGAACTCATTTTTTCTAACCATCAGGAAGAAATTTCTGTTTTCAAAACTTTTGTCCAAGAAGCCAACCATTTCAATTACCAAGAAGACTTTTATCTCTCTAGCTTTTGGTTCAATAATTTCTATTGTTCATTTTCCAATGCAGACTGTTCATTGAAGGACTGCACACCCAATGCTTCTCTGATGTGGCTCCCTATGTATCATTTTGACACAACTATGACTTATTGGAGTCACAATATACACAATTCAGTGTATGCTGTAGCCAATGCCCTCCATGAGATGCTTCTTCAACAAGCACAAATATCATTGATGGAAAACAAGAATTTGACAGTGCATTCCCTGGCAGGTAAATCATCTTTTCTGTAATTGCACACAATATATTCAAGGTATCTGAGAATTTTAGAAAACATTATCCAAAAGTGCAAGTGATTCCATACCAGGTCATGCTAAGGAGATAAATCTTGAATTTTTATAAGTGGGCACTTAGCAAGAAAGCACCAGCATAGAAAAAACCAATATGAGAGCAGATCATTGCTTTTCTGTAAAGCATGAATATGTCTATTCAGATAATATACATATTATAAAAGTCTAAATATTTTCCATAATCTTCCTACTATAAAACAATCTTTGTATTCTTGAATTTAAATGGTGTTAAACTCTATATTAAATATATTATCTTGCATTTCTCACTTCATGCTGCAGTGGTTTTTACTTGTGAAAACTTCATATTGTAACTACAAGCTGTGGGAACATGAGATCTAAAAATAATGAAATGTCTTAAACTTATTGTGTAACTTGCATGAAAATTTTGTTTAAGTTAGTTTGGATAAAATTTTTCTCATGATTTATTGACTTTTTAGGAAAAATGAGATATTTTGTCTTCCATGACACTTCATTTATTCTACAGGCATTTATTCACAGGTATTCTTTATTAAATGCCTGTGTCAATGTTGCATTATGTAATAAAAATTGAAGATAATTAGGACCTTTCCCTATTTCATTTGTGTCTTAATAATGAAGTCCTTTTCAGCAGAGGGTGATTTATCTTTTAGCTCAATGCAATTTTGAAGAACATTCCATTTAACAATCTTGCTGGAAACCAAGTGAATTTGAATGACAGAAGCAAAGTGGATGTACAGTATGACATTCTCAACTTTTGGAATTTTTCAGAAGGCCTTAGACTTAAGGTCAAGTTTGGAACATTTATCCCATATGTCCAACATGGCCAACAATTGTCTTTATCTTATGATATGATTGAGTGGGTCACAGCAATTACAGAGGTATAATTGGATAAAATTGTACAGCACTTCAGTAACAACAAATAACCAAAATATTGCTCTAGGTTTTGCACACCAAATTTTATGTAATAGGAAACTATGGCATTTACAAATCTCAATTTCAATTTTATCAATTTTCTCCTTTACTTTTAGCTTTCCAATGAATTGGAAAGCAGCACATTTACTTATATTTTGTAAATGGTTATAAATTCATTTTATATTATGAAATATGGTGCTTACAAATATATATATATATATATATATATATATATATATATATAAAACACTGTATACATAAAAATTGTTTTTCCTTCCAGTTCTAAAGGACTGATACATTTCTAAGAACTCAGCAACCTATATTTTTTCCTCAGATGCCCCACTCTGTATGCAGTGAAAGTTGTCATTTTGGATTCAGGAAGACCTCTTAGGAGGAAAAGCCTGCCTGCTGTTTTTATTGCACCCCTTGCCCAGAGAATGAAATCTCCAATCACACTGGTAAGAGTTGGTCATAACATTCATTTCATATTCACCCCATCCATCCAGGAAATGGAAAAAGACTTCCAGAGGACATCGATGACAAAGTTATTTCTTCTGTTAGGTGGAAATTTATTTCTTTAATTTAGTACATTCTCTATACCTCTCTATGTATATACTCATAGATTCATTTTTTTTCTTTTGTATATCCTTTTTCTTTTAACATTTGTGAGAACTGGACCAAGTGTTTCCCTCACCCTTAGCCTATCTCCATATCTTTTATTGTTGTTGTTGTTATTTTGAGACAAATCTTGCAATTTTTGACCTATCCATCTCAGATTACTGTGTAGCTGGGATTACAGGTGCATAAAACACTCCCAAGTTATTCTCAGTTGCTTTCCTAGATCTACTGAAAATATTATTTTGTCATGAGAATGATTCTCCCACCATATCACCTGTGAGTTCCATCTGCACCATAAAGCTTAACACATAAAATTATTTAAAAAAAAAAAAAAACAGTTGTGGCATCCGCCTCCCTGTGTGTCTGGAGGACTGGATTTCTCAGCAAGCAGGTGAGCATCAGGAGTTCCAGAGGCTTGCAGCCTGCGGTAAATGCCCAGAGCACTCTGCCCAAAGCCCAGACTGTTAGGGACCCTCCAGGCTTCTGGGTGCAGTGAAGCGGCTAAGTGGATCTGAGGCGCCGACATCCGCCTCCCCAATCCAGCTGCACTTGGAGAAGTGTGGAGTTTTGAGCAAGCAGGCTGGGGCACAGTGTCCTTGGAGCCCAGCTAATCTGGAACTACAGAGTTCTAAACAGGCAGAAGAGGGCCACTGGTTGCAGAGGCCCAGCAGCCAGGGGGAACTGAGTGCCAAAGTCCCAGGAGCTGTGAACATAGAAGCAGATTTCCAATAGACCCTGAGGAAGCTTTCAAATAACACTTGAAACATATATATATATAGGAAAATGACAAAATGAAAGACCAAATTACAACCTCAAACGTCCAGCCCATCTCAAGAAACCCTAGGAGTGATGTATATAGAACAAAATGTATGCCATACACCTCAAATATTGGACTTAATAGCTACTGAAATAAACAAGCAACTCCAGGAAGCTTTATAGGAATTCAAACTCGAAATAATCTCCCAGGTAAAAGAAGAAATGATAAAAGAAATGAAAGAGATTCTGAATATATCTAAAGAAATCACAATTAAAAATTGGAGAAAATAAACAAAAAGATAGAATACCTGGATGAGCAATATAAGAAACAAACAGAATACACAAAGCAGATGCACAGAGATATACAGGAAATAAAAAAAAAACACCACTGAAAGCTGTAAAAACCACCTCAATGAAAGTGAAGATAGAATTTCAGACCTTGAAGACAGGATTGCAGCTAGTAAACAGGAAAGGAAAGATATTTTTAAAATAACAAGGAATCAGGAAATAATTCAACAACTGCAAGATGATGCAAAGAAAAACAACATAAGATTGATAGGGATTAATGAAAAAAAGGGAACAACATAAAGGATGTCAAGAGGATATTTAGAGAAGTAATAGCTGAAATTTTCCCAAGCATGAGATCAGAAACCGACATCAGGTTCAATGAATCCTATAGAACTCCAAATAGTCATAATCAAAATAAAACTACACTCAGACATATAATAATCACCATCCCAGAAATCCAACACTATAATAGATTATTAAAAGCTGTCAGAGAGAAAAAACAGATCACTTATAAAGGAAAACCTATCAGAATCACAGCAGACTTCTCAGCACAAACAATAAAGTCAAGAAGAACATGGGGTGAAGTATTCCAGATCCTAAAGCAAAAGGATTTCCAACGTAGACTGATGTACCCTGCAAAACTATCATTCAAAATTGATGGTGAAATACAATACTTCCATGACAAAGAACAGCTGAAGAACTTCATGAACACCAAGCCAACCCTGCAAAAAATATTGAGAGACAGTTTAGATACACAAAGGAAAAAACACTAAGCAAGGATTTTTGGGGAGAACATGGCAGACAGACAACAGCAACTACCGGAGGCTCTCTGAAAGGCTCGACTCAGAGGCCAGGAATGATGCGGACTAAGGAGACATGAACCAGTAGAGATATGCTCTGCTGACTCAGGAACGAACTGGGCTGAGAGAAACCAACTTAGAATACAGTCCTGGCGCTAAAATAGGAACAGAAAAGACTCGGTGTGGAGGCTCGACCCTGCGCCATTAGAAACCGTGATTTGGGTTTCCCGCCGCCTGGCAGCTGGCTGCCTCCACAAGCGGCTTGGCAAGGAGAGACATGCAGAAGCTCTGGGAATGGGAGTCTGCGAATGGAGTAGACAACAGGGTGGACAAGGAGGCATACACGAAAACTGACTGGTGGTGAGGTGAGTGAGAGAAACTGACCCCCTACCACAGTCTGACTCCAGCGGAGGACTTTCTGGGCTCGGGCAGTCCTGTAAGAGCAGGGCGTGGTGGCGACTCAGACACACATTCCCCTCTCAGACAGGATTGGTGAAAAGTGCCTGGCCTGCATGACACTGCGGGCGGACTTGGTAATCTGGCCTAACCCAGATCCCAGAGCCTGACAGTGGCCTGGAGGGGCGACTGACTCCCGCATAGGCTGCCTCCTCCACAACTCCCTGGTGCACAGCGGTGGGCGGGAATATCTAGCCAGCGCAATTTGATCAGGCGGTGGCTGACAGGCAGGGAAGCCGGACCTCTAATGTAAGCTTGCATTTTATAAGGAACAGAAAATATGGGGAAGGGAAGCAACAAGAAAGGCTCCTCGGTCCCCAATTCTGAGAAACAGGCAATAGTGGACACCGCACCAATATACATTAAGCGCCATATAGAGAACCTCATAGACCAATTCAGGAATGAAGTTATCAACGACCTGAAGCTAGAAGTATGCAGAATAGTTAGAGAAATGCTAAGCACCACCCAGGAAAAAACAGATGGTGGAATGGAAGAACAGAAAAAGAGGGGAGAATTGCTTGATGGAGAAAACAGAGAAAGCATTGAGTATGTGAAGCAGGTTCAAAGGGACTATCAAGAAATTAAGAAGTCTATCCACGACTGGCATAACAGCTTGAAAGAAACTAAGGACAGACTATCTGATCTGGAGGGCAGACTTGTAATATGGGAGAATGAAATGAAAAACTTCTTAAAAATAACAAAGAAACAAACAGCAATAATACAAAGACAAGAAGATGATAAGAGGAGCCATAACTTAAGGATTAAGAACATAAAAGAAGAAGTAGGGACACAAACAAGTGAACTACAAAAGCTACTCACAGAAATAATCCAGGAGAATTTTCCTAATTTAGCAAAAGGTAAAGATACTCAGATGTATGAGGCATACAGGACCCCAGCTACCTACAACCCTAACAGAGAAACACCCAGGCATATAATAATAAAAATTCCAGAAATTCAATACAAGAACAGAATATTAAAAGCTGTCAGAGACAAGAAACAGACCACTTACAAGGGAACACCCATCAGAATTACAACAGATTTCTCTGCACAAACCATCAAATCACGAAGAGCATGGGGGGAAATAATTCAAGCTTTGAAAGATAATAATCTCCAGCCAAGATTGAGATATCCTGCACAACTGTCCCTGGAAATTGATGGAAAAACGAGGTGCTTCCAGGATAAAGAGGAACTGGGGGAATTTGCAACCACTAATTCAACCCTACAGAAAGTATTGCAGGATATTCTAAAAAAAGAAAAATACAAAGAACCCAGAAATAGTGGCGGGGAGGCCACAACAAATGGAGCAGAGAACAAAATGAAGAAGACAAACTGACAGAAAAAGAGCTCAACAGAAATGAGACAGAGAAGATTGGATGATAGGAACAGCTATTTTGGAGAAAATGACATCTTAATAGGTAATACTGATTTAGTATCATCTTGTTTTGAAGTCTCATCAAGCTTTTGTTCTTCTGTCTCCAATGGTCTAAACAGGTTGTATCTTATTGGATTTTATTATGTACGATAGCATAAGCAAAAACCTTTTAAAGACAAGGAGATTATACAGAAACCATTGTTCATTTTCTGTTAGTCAATTCTAAATACTCTATAATGCTGTCATTCTCTTAAATGGTTTTACATTGTTTTGATATACTTAATGCTACAATATATGAAGTTGTACTCAAGGACTTCAAGGAAAGAGACAATATGGTAACTACTTTTGGGTCGGAATTATCTGGTGGTGAAACACTATTCTGCTTAAATGGTTATGTTTTGATCTGCCCTGTTTCGCTGTTATGCCCTCTTTTTTCTCAATCTCCACTCCATTATTTACTTTTTTTATTTTTATCCATTTAATTAAAGGGAAAAAATAGCAGGATATAATATAGTAACCCACTTTGACTTTCTATTATCTCGATTTGAAGCCCTGTATTACTCTCACCATCTTGTTTTTGAGTGATGTTCCCCTATTCTGTTTTGCTGGATAGTATCAGGTTTGAAAGTTTAGGCATCAGCTGAGAAGATAATGAGATTCATTATAACGCCCATTCTCATTGACTTTTATCTACTTTTGAAGACCTACAATGTCTCCAATGTTTTGGTTTTGTCGGTTTTGTTCTTTACTGTTTTGTTCAATTGTATTATAACTAATGATATAGGCAATTCTATTAGAGATAGCGGGAGGCATTATGGTAACCATTGTTGATCACCTTGTATTATGTTTTTATATTATCTATTATGTCCACCCTTTTGACTTGACCAATTCTGTTCTGTTATGTCACATTTGGTTTTACTCTCTTCCAAAAAAGCAATAAGAACTGTGGGAGCACTGAAACCCAAAATGTGTAATAGTCATTGTACAAAAGAGAGGAAAAGAAAGTGCTCTAAACTATATAACTGCATGTATATTTAAGTGTATAAGATAGAAAATGATATCACAGAGTTTTATTGGGTCACTGAACAGAACTGTTTGCAGTATCATTGTTGGAATGTCAACTCTACAAGCTTTAATTTTGTGACTTGAACAATTATTTCTAAGATGG